GCTCTAGTAAATTAATTTAGTAAACTTTTCTTTTGTTCATTGTGAAGGCTACAAAAGAGGAATGTAACAATAACAAAAATAATAATGGCATCTATTGAGCACCTAATGTGTGTCAGGCACTTTATTAAATGCTTTACATGCATTGTCTCTTTTATTATTTACCAGATTTCTACTGTGTGGAGACTACAGTCAGGACCAACTTATCCGTTATGCTCACTAGGTACTATGCCTAGGGTCCACAATACTTTTAGAGGTCCATGAAAATGTTTTAGTTTCTTTTAGAATCAAAAGGGAAAATAAAGGAATAGAATCTTCCCTGGATATTAGTCTTTATACTCACATGGCTGTGAAATATAATTTATGATTTTTTTTTATGGAGTGAGCATCCCATGAGGGCAAAAGTGCCTTGGGCCTCAGAAAGTTATAATGCAGCCCTCGCTATAATCATTCCCACTTAACAGATAAAGAAACTGAGGCTCAATCAAGTTGAGAAATAAAACATGCCGCAGAGCTAGGAAATGGCAGAGGTAATTTTGGATATAGGTCTGGGGGACTCCACTGATGACCCTTTTAACTACCACATTATACACTATACAACATTATGTAGCAAGAAGCTCATACCAAGCTGGGAAAACAAGTTTGTCGTACACTAACCAATCAGAAAATACTTCAAGGAAAGAATAGAATTAACTGCCTAAATTCAGGGACAGATCCAGATTATGTAGGACCCCAGGCTTTTACAACTTGGAAGATCTTCTTTCAGGAAAAAATACTAAAGTATAAATAAAAATTAGGTATACAGTCTTGGAGGGGTCTGTCCAAGAAAGGGGGCCTTCAAGTGTAAGCCTATTAGCTTCATGGAAAATCCATCTCACCTAAATGTCCTTGGACCTAAAGAAGGCCAGAGCTTCAGGAAGGATTCAGTGTCACCAGGGATATCAAGAGGGGTTTTTAGGAGGAAATGGGACTTTGAAGTGTGGCTGTGACTGGGCACCCTGAGTGTAAAGACAGGGGGGCCAGTGTGAGCACAGTCTGTTCAGGAGAGGGTGGAGAAAGCCACCTGCCCGAAACTCACAGTGATGCTGCCCAGTGGGGAACCACGGGGTTCGCTGAGGAAGGCAGTGCCTATTTGAAAAACCAGGATAGAAAGGATGCTGGGAATCTTTGTTCCTCAGTCGTTAAGTCATTATGCAGTAAAAGGCATCAAGAGGATGAGGAATCTGGTGCTGTGGGCAGGACCCTCAGGAGGGGTGGAAAGAGGCAAAGAGATCTAATTGAAGGACTGGTCTGGGTATGTTTTAATGAGTGCCTTATAAATTATGGGTGGCAGAGAGGAGAGAGGAGTAAAATAAGACAAAGAAAAAGAGTAAGAATGAAAAAGCATCAATCCAGTATTAAGAGATGTGAGGACTAGAGGGGAATCAGAGATAATTTTTATATTCTGAGCCTGCCTAATTGAAGGAATAGCTGTGGGACTGCCAGAAATATAGGGGTTGGTTAGGTTTGGTTCTAGAGAAGTTAAATCCAACAACAACAAAAAGTTGAAACAACTGGGCTTTGTGCATCCCCAGAGGGAGCTGCGTCCTGGGACAGAAAGATATCCTGAGCAGAGCTTGACTAGGCTCTGCTGGCATAATTAGCCTTTGCAGTCTTTTCTGCATACCAACTCCCCATTGGGTCAACACATTCTTTCTCAATTACGTTAACCTCATTAAGAACCCCGCAGTCAGGTCCTGCTTTTCTAGCTAAGAAGCATTTTGTTTTTAAGGTGGTGTTTGTTGAACACCGTTATGAGATTAGCTATAATTTAACTCTCAGAGTTTCTCTAGGTAAGCAGTCAAGAAGACTAGTCACATGAAAATACAAAGCAGAGTATGGATTTGAGAGGGCATTACAGAGCTATAAAAAATAGAGATATGGAATCAGAGAGAGGGTGGAGTCTTTTGATGATTCAAAATGTATTGATTGCATACTCGTTACACGTCAGGCTCTGTGCTTGGAACAAAAGCCATTACTATGAAGGAGAGGCGGTCTCTGCCTTGTAGGTGTCTAGGATGGGTATTTGGGAAGGTGACAGGGTCACACAGAGGATGAAGAACAGCAGATTCTAGAGGCTGGGGAGCAGGATGATGAATTTAGGTTTAGCCGTGTCAAATTTGGTGTTCTGAAAAATGTGTAGCGTGTCCAATACACAATTGTAAACATGGGAATGGTGTTCAGAAGAGAAGGCAAGGCAAGAGATACAAATTTTAGGATACAGAAACCAGCATCGAGTTAATGCCTGGGGCAGGCATGGATGATGAAAGTATTGTTTCCAAGGCCAGTAGGACGGTATCAGTGGAAGTTTTTAACAGAGCTATGGATGCTTCAATAATCAAAGAATTATACAGAATTGGTAAAAGAAAGGAAAAGTGTTAAAACAAATACAGTGGTGAATATAGCACAAACAAGTCAGCCAAACTTGCAGAAGGGTCAACATCAGATCTTGCTTTTTGAGATATAAATTTCCCTGTAAGTAATACTTTACCGACATCCCAAAATGTTGGTATGTAGTTTAATTGCTCACTTTTTAAAAAAAAAATTATTTATTATTTTTGGCTGCGTTGGGTCTTCGTTGCTGCACGCAGCCTCTCTCTAACTGCGGCGAGCGTTGCGGGGGGGCTGCTCTTTGTTGTGGTGCATGGGCTTCTCATTGTGGTGGCTTCTCTTGTTGCCGGAGCATGGGCTCTAGGCGGGCAGGCTTCAGTAGTTGCAGCACGTGGGCCCTAGAGCAGGCGGGCTTCAGTAGTTGTGGTGCGTGGGCTCAGTAGTTGCAGCACGCAGGCTCTAGGGCGCACGGGTTTCAGTAGTTGTGGCGCATGGGCTTAGTTGCTCCGCAGCATGTGGGATCTTCCCAGGCCAGGGATCGAACCCGTGTCCCCTGCATTGGCAGGTGGATTCTTAATCATTGCGCCACCAGGGAAGTCCCTGTGTAATTGCTCATTTCTAAATATGAACTCATGAATTATTTAGATGTGATTTCTAAATATATGGGGTTATATTGGTCATGATAGATAGATGGGTGGATATAGATATAGATATATAGATTTGACTGGAGAGGAATTTAATACAGAGAATTGATTTCGTGGTGGCCATGGATTGAGAAGCCAACCGGGGACACTGAGGCAATCCAGAGATTATCAACAGCAGAAAGTCATTACCACTTCTAGGTCTGCAGGGACAACAGAAGGAGGTGGCTTTACCCAAGCTTAAAGCTGGACCCATCTGAAGTGAGTTAGAGCCAAAGTGGGGACTGCCCAACAGAAGTTGGGAGCCAAGAGAGGCAATCCATAGGAAGCAGGAAACATCCTGCCTTTCCCCTTTCTGCCTCCTAACCTAAGGTCAGTGCTGCCATTGTCAGAGCCCAAGGGAGCCTGGGAATTGTAGTTCCCTAGAGCACAGGGGCAAACAGCGCAGAGAAGATGATTATCTTTTCGTTACTAATTTGAAGTTTATTACATTGTGATCAAAGATTGTAGTCTATTTGATAATCCTTACTTGGTATTTACTGAAACTCATCTTATGGCCTAGGACATAGTCAGGTTTTGTAAATGTTCCAAGGGTTGTTGAAAAGAATGTGTATTCTCTTATCTTGTGCGTGGGCAGTATCCCACAAATGTCCATCAGACTTTGTTCGTTAGTTGTGTTGTCCACACAATAAAGATACATCTTTATCCATACTATGTTGATGACATGAAGTCAGTTTTTGAAAGAAGTTTGTTAAAAATCTCTCATTATGTTTATGGATTTATCAAATTCAGGTACCGGCTATATGAAAAATAGTCTATAAGGAACATGAATGGAAATAGTTGGAAGGCTGGTACACTGGTTCAGGTGAGAAATGATAGTAGCCTGGCCTAAGATGGTAAGAATGTAGAGAAAAAAGGAAAGAGAGAAATTAATGCTGATTCCTAGGTTTCTGGCTTGGGTAACTGGATGAATGGGGGTACGGTTCACATATATGGACGACCACTGACCAGGGATTTTTCCTTGAGCAAATTACACAAATTCTCTGGCCTCAGTTTTCTTCTTTATAAAAATGGGTATAATAATCGATTGCATTTCATAGGGTTATTGTGACAGTGAAAAGAGTTAATATATGTAGAGTACTTAGCACCCTAGCTAAATAACTCTTCTATATAAACTTTTATTATTACCAACTAGCATATGGTTAAAGAGGGGAAGGTTTGGGTTTGAGGTGGGAAATCAAGATTTCCTACTGAGGCTCATTATGTTTGAGTTGTTTGGGAATTTATCTTCCAATAAATAGGGTGTGAATGATCTCAGTAAACACTGCTTAGGGATGAAAGAGGATGGAAGTGCGAAAAGACCACTGGAAGGTCCAAGGCAACCTATGAGAGGTGGCAGGATCAAGAGAAGACTGTCTTTAGGAAGAGAGAGTGGATAATGGTTTCAGGAGAGAATAAGGAGTTACTTCAGGGGGAGACGGAATAACGGAACAACTGCCTACATGTACATTCTGTTTATTTTTGTTTTCCAGTGTTTCAGTGTGTTGTTGTCTGGCTTGGTTTTAGGGAAAGAAGCCAGTCATCCCCAAAAGGCTGCAGAAGAGCAGAACTCTGGGAAAAATGACTGCAATTAACAGAGCAATCTTAACTTACCTTGTGTGTGATTTATCATAAGATTAGTAAACAGATTACTCTAGTGACAGGTTGTCGAGAAGCCTGTATTAAACTTGTGGTGCAACAGGAAAAAGTGATTAACACGGGAAAGGTTCATGAACATGTATGTTTCCGGCTTTGAGCTACTATGTGGAATGAAAATGGAAATTATGAATTCTGTAGGATGCACTGCCTTGGCAGATTTTCATGTGAGATTATGCATGACCACACCTCTCCCACAAGTCTGCACAGGCTTAGGAATTTTCTTATTAAGCTTGTTGTACAATCTGCATTTTAGCAAGGGCATACAAATGAATGTAAAGAATATTCCCAGGTTAGTGCCAAATTATTTTTTCTTGTCTGTAGTGTTAAGGAGGAAAGCATTGCTTTATGCTTATTGTAATTGAAGCCATTTTCATAAACCAGTTTTAGATTGATCTCACATAAATTATAAGCTAGATTCAATTATGAAGCCATTAACACACTTCACATAAACAGAAAATAAAAAGCAGGTTCTGTGTGAAGATAGGAGATTTAACATGTACTTCTACCTTCTCACCTTCCTGAGACCCCACTAACACAACCAGTGAAGGGATGTTTTCAGGCTTAAACCCAAAACATGGAGAGAGCTGCAGAAGGGATCGTTTTGGAAGCTGGAAAGCAGATGAATACATAGTGATAGAATAAGCAGCGCTGAGAAAGTTGAATTCAATCAAGCAGTAGAGAAAACTAGGAATTAATCTGATTTACAGAAAACCAAAGACTTAGAAACTAATGGCAGCAGGTCTTCGTGGAAGTGAAAATAAAAGGGGTATAGATTTAATAAGGAGCAATGTTGGGAAGTCTGTTTTAGAAGGAATTGGATCCCCAGATCCAAGCAGCATCCCAGAAACTGACCTTTCCTTCACTGGCAAAGAATGATGGTTTATTTTCATAATGAAGTAAAATAGATGGTCTGCATGGAAGAATACCAGTGCAGTTGAAGGCGAGGGAGCTGTACTAACAACAGGGGAATAAATGAATGTATGTGTATTTGCTTTGGAGACATAACATGCCAAATCCATCTTTCTCAGTTCTGAGTCCAGGACACTGAAAGCTAGACCTTCGCCCTCCTGGCAGGAGACTGAAAGAGTCTTCTCTGGGATATATGACTAGCCCATGAAGAAAGACATGACATTAGAAAAATACTGACATCAGAAATCTCCCCATTAAACGACCCAGTCTGATGCTCATGTAGGAAAATTCACATCAGACCAGCCCATCTCTCACATCCTCAGAGCTTCCAGTCAGTATTTTAGTATCACACTCTTAAGTGTTGTCAAATATGAAGACAATGTATGAGGTATCTACGGAAAGCTAACCTGGAAGATAGAAAATAAAATAAAGAGAAAAAAGTAATGTTGAAGAAATAAAGGTCAAATAAATGTCAAAAACATCACAGAGAGAAGTGACTGTAACTATGAAATAAGAACAGAATTCTACCCCCAAATAAATGAACAAACAAGTAAATAAATGGAATGTTCCAAAAACATAAAGAAGGTCTTGAAAATTAAATACAATAGCAGAAATAAAAATCTTTGATAGAAAGGTGAAAATATAAAGTGGAGGAATTTTATCAGCAAAAAGAAAAAAAGACGGAAAATAGGAGATAAAAAAATTAGGAAACTGATCATGGAAAATTAGCATTAAAAAAGAGGAAAAGATAGAGAAGATGGAGAGGAGGAGCTACCTAATAATCTGAATTTCCAGACCAAAAGATTTACCAAGTGAAAACAGATTCACAATGGTACAACATTGTGAAATTTCAAACATTTAGGGCAAGGAGAAGATCCTGCAAGATTGTAAAGAGGAAAAAAAAAAATCCAGATCATACACATAGGATCAGTAATTAGTGAGAATAAAAATGTTCCCCCAAACGTGGTGAAGGCGATTGTTCTATGGTCATGTTAACAAATGGCCATTTAAATGGTTTTAAACTCACTTAACTCAATCAAAAGCAACACCCACAGATGAACATGCCTTTGCAAACCAACCAATCAGCATGAGTTGCTCACTTCTGACCACTGGCCCATTAGGGATGGACTCACTCCAAGAAAAACACCCAAGAAACTGTGATTCTGCAGATGGCAACCCACTGAAGCCTGTGAGAGTCCACCAGTCCCTGAACTCTGTGCTTCCCCAAAGCCCCAGACAAGCTTAACAGTCTGCTTTGCTTGGAGAGACTGTGCCTGAGCAGCATAGCTCTCCTTTACTATAGCAAGCACTAAATTCAGCTTTGTTCTTTTATTTCAGATATTGAGTGGTGGTCTTATCAACATTTGACATAGAATTTTAATTTCTGAACAGGAGCACTGGAAGCTACAAAGCAATGGAGAAAGGCTTTCAAAATTCTGAAGGAAAATAGTTAACAACTTAGAGTCTACACCCAACCAAACTATCATTTACATATGAAAATTTCTTTAAAAATACATTTTTAGACATGCAAGATCTTAAACGATTTATTTATCATATACCCTTTCTTGGGAAGTCACTGGATGAAACCAAGCAATAAGAAGATGTGGGTTATGGTAAACAGGAGATCCAATATAGGAAAAAAGCAAAAGACAGTCCAAGGACCATGGTCAAGAGAGTCCCAGGATAGTATTTATACCCCACAGCAAACCAACCCATGTTGCAGCTTGTATCAGCTACCTAGTGCTGCATAACAAATCAATCTAAAATGCAGTGGCTTAAAACAAACCATTAAGCTCACACATTCCTGGCATTTCTTCTGGCTGATCCTAGCTAGGGTCATTCACGCATCTGTGGTCTGTTGGCAGGTTAGCTGGGGTTGATTGTTTCCAGATGGCCACACTCACATGTCTGACAAGTGGTGGTGGTGGTTGGAGCCACTGTGGTGACTGGGCTATATTTCTCTCCTTATCCAGCAGGTAAACCTTACTCTTCACATGGCAGCAGGACTCCAAGAGCCCAAAGCACAAGGACTTTTCCAACTACTGTGCCGTGCTTGTTAACATTTCATTGGCCAAAGCAAATCACATGGTCAAGTTCAGAATTAAAGTGGAGAGTATACTTAAAGTTGCAGAGCAAAGGAACATGGCTACAAGAAAGGGAATTGTTGGACATTTCTGATAGCAATCTACCACAGAGCTTAGCAGAAGTTTCTAGGAGAAAATTCTTTAAGAAAATGAAATTTGTAAAATGTCACTGATGTGTCTGAACATGTTGAGAGAAGATTTAGACAATTGTTAAAGATTTTGGTGTTGACTTCATGACAAATATAAAGATAACTAAACAAAGGAAAAAAAATAGGCCATTATTAACTCTGAGGATAACAATGTTGTTAGCAAATAAAACTAACCATAATTTACAACAGATTTAGTGGTCATTAGTGTTTAATTAGTCGTAAATCAGCCAGTTAACACTGAATATTGAACTAATGAAAATTACAATTTGACCGAATTATGAGAAAAAAGAGTACAAAAAGTGAGGACAGGTAGTGGGGCAGGAAGGATAAAAGAGAGCTGAGTCCTACTCTTCCAATCCTCTTCCTGAATGGAAAATCAAGATATCTTATCTAAAACTGGAAAGTCAAGAAGTAGCAGTGCAAAAATGTTATCTAGCAAAATGGAGGCAAATACCAAAATAATCAGGTGAAAGAGGTGAAACTGGTGCCTCTGGGAAGGAGTAAATGGTATGTGAGGGGACGGGGACCTGCTGTGTTTCACAAAAGGCCACAGAGAAATATTTGTCTTTAAAATTATGTGCATGTTAACTTAAGTACAAGTCACAACCGAAAGAAAAAAGGCAGAGAAGAAAGTGATCGGTGTATTTAATCCAGACTGATACACAATAATCTCTGTCTAACATCAAGTGACAAAAAGCAAAATGTAGAATAGTTTGTATACTAAGCTATTATTTGCATTTTAAAAATGGAGCAGCAAATATAAATATAGGCTTGTATCTGCACAGAATAATTCATCAGAAAGCTCTGCTGAGTTTACCTTCAAAATAAATCCCCATTCTGGGAATTCCCTGGTGGTCCAGCGGTTAGGACTCCACGCTGCAGCGGGTGCGGGTTCAATCCCTCGTCGGGGAACTGACATCCTGTGGGCAGAGGGGCAAAAAAAAAAAAAAAAAAAAAATCCTGATTCCATCCGTATCTCACCCCTCTGTTGCTCTAGTCCTAGGAAAACCATCACCTCTTGCCTACACTAGGTCAGCAGCCTTCTCGTTGCTTCGGTCTAGTCACCACACAGCAGCCCAAGGCATCCGGTTAAAAGAGAAATTAAATGACATCATCCCCCTCACCCTTCCCGCCCCGTTCAAAACCTTTGAAGTCTTCTTCATCAGGTCAAATAAAACCAGACTCCTCACCAGGTCTCCACAACTTCCTGTGATCCTGTTCTGACCTCATGCTCGTCCTGTTCTAGCTCATTCTTACTACAACTCATGGTCCCTCTGCCTAGAGTGCTTTTCACAGATGCTGAGGCTGGCCTGTTACCCAGATCTCTGCTCAGATGTCAGCTCCTCAGAGGGACCTTTCCTGGTCCCTGTCTCTGTACTCTCCCTCCCCCGTCATCACCTACCTGTCCTTGTCTCTCACCTCACCCTGACTTACTTGTCTTCATAGCACTGATCACCACTTGACATTTAATTGTGTATTGAATGTTTAGTTGTTTATTAGCTCTCTCCCCTAGCAGCAGGTACAGACCCATGAGGAAAGACCCCGAGTACTCAAAACAGGGCCTGGTCCATAGTAGCTATTAATACATCTCCTTTGAATAAATTAATATACAATGAAAAATACAGGAGAACCCCCCCCCGCAACTATTTATAGTGGCTGCTTTGAGGAAGGGAACTGGGATCTTGGGTGTCAGCGGTGAGAGAACAAGAGAGAAGGTCTTTTCACTTACCCATGACCTTTAACACCTCCAGCACCCAGGGTCCAGACAGCACACCAAGGTGGTGCTCTAGGGTGAAGAAGGAAAATGTGAGAACATCCGTTTAGATATACTTTTTTCCTAAAAGAAAGAAGGCATTATTAACATTCAATTCATACATTTTGAGTACATGTATATAATTTATAAATTATATTCTAAATTGCATGTTCAACATATTTTCATTGACTAGGGTATAAAACTTAAAAGTTTGGTCTGTAAGTTTGAGATAAAGCAGATGTGTTTGATGTGTCTCATACCATTTTAAAATTGTTTGAATCAACATTAAAATCCAGAGATTTCACATAAAATCCCAGACGTCTGTGTTGTTTGAGAAACCAGAGTTGCTGGCAATACGGGTCCTTTGATTCCCTCGGGCGATGTGGGCACAGACCCATTTAAAAGGCAAGTGGATCCCCGCTCACTGAGGTTTTTTTCCCTGTTGGCTTCCTGTAGGTTTTCAGATTCAGCTCACCTCACTCCCTGCAGGCATTTTACTTTATGACCCTTTTCTGACTGTTTCTCAATCTCAGCCAAATTATTTTTATCTGATAGTGAAAGTGCTGAAATTCACTAATAATCAACTTAAAACAAAACAAAAATACTGAGCTCAGAGCTATCCCTGTTTTTACACTACACTTACTCTTGCAATCTGCTGAGTAATGGGGGCAGAGCAGGTGCTGGCACAACCATGATTAACTGAAGGTGTGTCCCTGTGAATCACAGTTGCTGGGATGCGTGCCGGCTGAGAGCAGGCTGAGAACCACTGTTCTGTAGTCTGCAATTTCTCAATTATATACAGTCCTTCTTTGTTATATATGTAGCTATATCTCCATAGAAACCTCTTGTAAGGACTACTGAGTGTATAGTACTCCTGAGTTCCTCAGAGTATCAAGTATTAAGGATATTTAATAAAGGCTTGTTGGTTAAGTGATTAACATAAAAAAAACCCATGGATACTGCCAGTGCTTATAACTTATATCACCATGGTTTGCATAGTTAAATATATAGGGCTTTGATATAATAACTGGATGAATGGATGGATAAATGAATGAATAAAGTTTATAATATCCACCTTGATCATAATCATAGATACTGTTGATTAAGCATTATCTGTGGACTGGCCACTGAGCTAAGTCCTTAACATCATTCTCTCATTTAATCTTCACAATCATTACATACGGCCAGTTTTTGGTTTTAATACTATAAAAAAATAAAATAAGCCTTAGAAAAGTGAAATAAGTAGTCCAGAGCCACATACTACTAAACGGCAGATCCAGGATTCAAACCCAGGGCTTCCAAAAGCCAGTGGTCTTTACTAAGCAATACCAACAACGAACAAACCAACCAACACTCTGGGTGAGAAAATGAGATGCTGAAATTTCTCCAGTAAAATATTCTCATCCCGTGACGTGGCTGTCACTGAAAATAAATTCTAAAAATCAGCATATTCTGCAGGAGCAGAAGTTAAACATGTCTTTAGCCAATTAATAGATGGGGAAAAACACAGGACATTCAGTGTAGAGCTCAGGATAAGTACATGACTAAGGGAAGCTGAAACCTTGAAAAACAGTAGACAACTGGAAATTACTTGTTACAAAAATGGGTAGTTGCTTCTTGGCCACAACTTCTATTTATTACAGATAAAAAGTAGTGACAACCAATTTTTTTTTTTTAAATATAAGATCAAAATTCCAGTTTCAGTCATCCAACAGGAACATTTCCTTCATGAGAAAGGCGCCATTGGGCTGAAGGGACATAAACAGCTTGAAGGCTTCGGTTCCACACCCAAGGGGTTTACCATACACTAGAGATGCTGAGAAGCCTACTGACACATGGCTGGAAAAGAACATTAGGGCAAGTGAGGCCCAAGCTGGAGGGTCCTGCCAGCCAGGCTGAGAATGTTGGACAGATGGCTGTCACTTAGGATTCAAGGGTTAAGAGGCCACTCTCTGCCCAGGCTGCACACAGCACCACACTGTGTGTGTTCACCATGGAGAAAAAGAGATATGGTAACCAGAGTCCTTCACGAGATAAGATAAAAACCTTAAGTAAATTAAGTGGACTTGTTCTGAACATGATAAAATAAGGGGTTTAGATGACAGAGGGTGAGGCAGCTGCTGACTAAGAAGAGATCTACATATTTCTCCATCAGAAAAGGCAGTTCAAGGCAGCTTGTTTAATGGAAAAGAAAATATATTAGATGGAAAGTTGTGTCTGGTGTGTGTGTGTGTGTGTGTGTGTATGTGTGTGTGTGCAGAATTATAAATGAAAAATCCAAGAAAAACTCCTAAGCTGGCTGGTAGACCATTCATGGGTGATGTAAAAGAAGTTTTTTATTTACTTTTTAAATTTTTCTATTTTTTTCTCTAATAGAACAAATAATACATGAATATACTTTCCTTGTAAAATTATAAAAGTTACAGGTCAAAATAAAGTCTCTTTTGGCTATCTCTCAACTGAATCCTGCCCAAATCCCTACACCTCCTCAAATGATCCTTTTCTGAAATTTGAAGTGCAAGCACATGTGGTATTTGAGCATGATGAAAAAAAAAAAAAGAAAGGAGAAAAAGCTTGCAGTAATAGTAACACTAACTCCCTCTTATTAAGCAGGTGCTATGCTAGATAGTTTACATATAAATTATTAGCTCATTCAGCAAATGTTCTGTGAGCAACTAAATGCCAAGGACTAGGAATACAACAATGACCTCAAAGAATTTGCAGTCACCTCCTAGCCTGGTGTCCTTTCCACCATATACTGATACAGAAAGCAAGACTCCGAGAGATTAAGCAACTCACCCAAGGTTGCCCTGAGATAAGCGGTAATACTGGGGTTCGAATCCTGGCCTGTATGTCTTCAAAGACTGACCCTCTTTCTTCCACCACCACTCAACTGTTTTCAAACTGTTTTAAAAGCAATAGTCTTTTAAACTGTTTTTAATGAAAACAGAATAACTTTATCACATCACAGCTCAATGCAGGAAAAAGATAAAAGTGGCAGCACTTGGGTTCATTCAGTGGCCTACCTGTAAAAATAAATTTGTTCCTATCAAGAGGACTAGATGAAATTTTGTACGGCCTGATACCTCAAAGCCCCAAGTCTGTTGTTAAGCAGCTTTAGGGACAACTAGTAAACATTCAAGTTGATCAAGATTCTCAGGGCTAGTGAATTCCAAACCTGAAAGTGCCTGGGAATCACAGATTCCTGTCGCTCTCCCTACTACTTATGAGCCCTAATCTAATACAACTGGTGTCCCCATAAGAAGAGCAAATTAGGACAAACACACAGAGAGGGAAGACCATGTGAGGAAACAGAGAGAAGATGGCCATCTACAAGTCAAAGAGAGGTCTCAGAAGAAACCTGTCCTGCTAATATCCTGATCTCAAACTTCCAACCTCCAGAATTGTGAGAAGATTAATTTCTGTTGTTTAAGCCACTCAGTCATGGTACTTTGTCATAGTAGCCCTAGCAAATTAACACAGGCAGTATCTGGTATTATTTGCCATTTGAATGCAGAAGAATTAATTGATTCTGTAAGAGAAGAATGAGATAAAGGGGGCAATAGAATAAAAACAAGAAGATGAATTTCACTTTCATCAATTTCAATTTCAGGAAATGGTGAAGATAAAAATAAATGAATACTGGGACTTCCCTGGTGGCACAGTGGTTAAGAATCTGCCTGCCCATGCAGGGGACACGGGTTCGATCCCTGGTCCGAGAAGATCCCACATGCCGCAGAGCAACTAAGCCCGTGCGCCACAACTACTGAGCCTGAGCTCTAGAGCGCGCAAGCCACAACTACTGAGCCTGTGTGCCACAGCTACTGAAGCCTGCGTGCCTAGAGCCCGTGCTCTGCAACAAGAGAAGCCACTGCAATGAGAAGCCCGAGCACCGCAACGAAGAGTAGCCCCTGCTCGCTGCAACTAGAGAAAGCCCGCACGCAGCAACAAAGACCCAACGCAGCCAAAAATAAATAAATGAAAAAATAAATTTATTTTAAAAAAATGAATAAAAATGGGGACTTCCCTGGTGGTCCAGTGATTAAGGCTCCACGATTCCAATGCAGGGGGTGCCGGAGTGATTCCTGGTTGGGGAACTAAGATCCCACCTACCATGCAGTGTGGCCAAAAAAAAAAAAAAAAAAGAAAAAGTGGACGATTGCCAAAATAAACCTTTGTTGAGGAAACAGTACCAAGATTACTTACTCTAGCAGCTTCATGAGCTCAATGACAAAGAGGCAAGGAAAAAGTGAGAGGAAAGACTTCCAGGGAAAACATGGAGGTAAAGCACAAAGTAAATGAGAAGCATCATGGCAGGTACCGAACTATTTTAGGAGAAGGAAGTAACATGAGTCCTGAGAGTAAAGGAATTAAAACATTAAGACTTTAAGGAAGTAAAAGGAGTTCAGAGGAAGGCTAGGGGAGCTAAAAATAAAACATATATATGGGCCAAGTGTTTTGTAAACTGGAAACAGGTCACTGAGAGAGCATTAGATCACTCAAGGTTAGAGTCACAGTTTATGGGGATCAGAGAGCAAAGAAATAGAGTATAATTTTAAAACAAGAAGCAAAGTAATATGGGAAGAAAGACTGGGTTTGGCCATATACACTTTCATTTTTCCTGTAGCCTCTGAGCCAATAATTTCCCCATTTTGTGCCAAGTTTGAAACCTACCAAAATAATAAAATAACTATGAATGGAGGGAAGAAGTGATACATTTCTTTTTTTGCTATGTTGAATAGATTAGACATAATTTATCCAAGGTATAGGTTATGGGCAAGCCAGTCATCACATGGCCCTGTTTGGAGAAAACACAAAACCTGTGGCTCCTACTGAGAGAAGAGTCATGTTCCACACCATGTGACCTCTCCCACCCTTCCCTAATCCCTTAGTTCTCAGTTCTCCTACCTCAGCTGACTGGAACCAGGAAGGAGCACGTAATCCCAAAGCAACCAATTTTATGGGTTTATGGCCTATGAGGAGGTTTGGCATAGAACCTCTGTCCAAATAGGGATATTTTCGGTCAAGCAGAC